TTTTTTTTTTTTTTTTTTTTTTTTTTTTTTTTTTTTTTTTTTTTTTTTTTTTTTTTTTTTTTTTTTTTTTTTTTTTTTTTTTTTGTGGTGGGGAGCTTCTTTGCAAATGATGTATAGCATAATTCTCCATTCTATTGCATTGCTCCAACAATGTCAACTGTTCCTATGAAATGTATCAACTTTTTAGTCCACAACATAATCTTCTCCCTTGTTTACTATTTAGGAGCTTAATGTTACCTTGCATAACAAAATGTAAATTCTACATCATTTTCAATTGCCATTACCGCACTCCTTAGCATGTACTTCTTATCTTGAAGTTGTAAGTTCCAATCTCTATACCCTATTTTGATTCACGTTTTAATTTAATAGACGATAATCTTTTTATTTTTTATTTTTGTTAGAACCCGGCATTGATAGCACTACTGCCGTCAAGAACCCGGCCTCGGGCATTGGGGACGCCGTTCTTAGTAAAGTGTATAGGTGTACTTCTTCCCTTGCTTGAATTTCTATGTGACAAATGAGAGGAACCCTGATAATACGATAGCTAAGAAAAACTTAAAAGAATTGAAAGTCACTTGTTATACCATTAAGATGCATCTTTCTTTTCTAAGATGCAGGTGAGTAAGTACAAAATATACTGAAATGACTCATGTTTGGGGATAGTCTTCACTATTAAGAATGGACAAGTAAGTAACATGATAATTTCACTCCTAAGAAGCGATAAGTAAGTAACATGATCATGTCACAAGGGATGTAGAGGAGTGTCGGGGCCATCAAGTGTCCAATCTAAATTTCGAATCTTGAACCTAATGTGGCATGGGTCCTTAGGGAGGTTGAAATCTCTATCCCCATTTTGGCTCAAATAATTGTATCCATTTTAAATAAATAGGGAGCAAAAATCATTTCCCAAGAAAATAAAAAGAAGAAGAAAAAAAGAGAGAGAAGTAATGGATAGCAATAAATCGATAAGAAATAAGAATAAAGCTTTTTCTTTTTCCTTTTGTATACTTTGACCAAATAAATAACAAAATTTCGCCCCTTCGTCTCGTTCCCGCCAAAATATCATCTTGGTCAAGAACCGGGCCATAAATTCCCGCTTCTTGGTAGTTCATCGTTTGGAATATCAATCTCACTGTGAACTCTCTCTCTCTCTCTCTCTCTCTCTCTCTCCTCTGTGTCGTGCGCGGAAGAAGCATAGTACACACGCAGGTATGCGTTAGAAATCGTTCGGAACCAGCAGATTTAGGTTTTGAGACTTTCTGATACTTTGTTCATCTCGTTATTAACAAGTTGTACTTCGTCCATTGTATGTAAGGTAGTTGTTTGATGATTTACTTCATAACCATGGGCCATGATGATCTTTTGTATGTTTGATCGAAGTGTTTCATTCAGCAGTTATATAAATCTAAATTTATTTTAATAGTTTGCTTGATTGTAATCTTCTTCGCATAGAGAATTGTAATTGATTTCTGGTCTCGCTCTAGTGATATGTTCTGGTCAACATATTAGCCATGGAAATTAAAATTTGATTTCCCACGAGCCTTTCACGTTTGTTTCTTTTTAAATTGGATTCAATTTTTGCATTAATGAGCTCTCGTTTTTATGAAAAACTTATGCTATCGATTGCTAATTTTATTCTTCGCGTCTTGCACGATTCTGCCATTCTCAACTCCGTGAGTTGAACAGAGTCACTATGAGACCAGAGGATAAAGTATACTTGGTGAAACGAATTTTTCCTATGCAAAATATACTCCTCAATTTGCTTTCTAACGTTTTTGTTTTCTTCCATTGCATGCAGAAGAAGTGTTCTTACATTTAGGGAAAAAAATAAATTTATTCTTTATTAATAATTCTATCAATATAAATTTTATATTTAATTAGTGAATCAATTTAGGCATTTCATATTAGAATTTGTAACCCTTAATACATATCTTTAACACTTGTATAAGACTTCTTCAAAAGCAATGATTAATGTAAATTAGAGAATGTAATAATAAAATAGGTGATATTTTTTGTTGCTTCTTTAGAGGAATTTTGGATGAAAATTAATTTTACTTGGGTGGTCTTATAAGTTTTAAATTGATATAATTGAATTTTTTGTGTAGATTTATTCAATTGGTAAGTGTAGAAATGCACAATATTTTTGTTATCATGCTCCCCAAGTCATTTTAGATTGCTTTGAACTTACACTGCCATGATCTGATCATAATAACTGGTGAATCCTAAAAATTATGACATTCACCATGGTTGATTTTTCAGACATGGATACGTCAAACCCTGCAGTTTTTTGCAATGGTGAGTTATTGAACATGCATTCTGGAAGAAAAATTCGAGCAGTTGTTCAAGTTATTCAAAGTGATGATGGAGTCGTTACAGGGAAGTCTACGGATGAACAACATTTGACTGTTCATGGCTTGCCCACAGTCCCTCTCATGAACTTTGTAGAGGTGGTTGGTATTGCTGAGGGCAACAAGATCATCAATGTTGAACATTGGACCGACTTTGGAACCATATTTGGTATGTACTAAAACCAATTCATTCTGTCATCTCTATGCCATTATAATATATCACCGTGCCTATGGATTTGAAAGCTAGTGAAATACGATTAGATCCCCACATTGGTTGGAGAGGTGAACGAAGCATTCCTTACCAGAGTGTAGAAACCTCTCCCTAACAGACACGTATTAAAGCCGTGAGGCTGATGACAATACATACGAGCTAAAACAAACAATATTTACTAACGATGGACTTGATCTATTACAAATGGTATTAGAGCCAGACACCGAGCGGGGTGCCAGCGAGGATGTTGGACTCCAAAGGGGGGTAGATTGTGAGATCCCACATTGATTGGACAGGGGAACGAAGCATTCCTCTAAAGGATGTGGAAACTTCTCTCTAATAGAAGCGTATTAAAACCGTGAGATTGATGATGATATCTAACGGATCAAAGTGAACAATATTCGTTAATGGTAGACTTTGGCTATTACAAATATCATTTGGTCTTACATTCGATGAATCATTTCACTTTATCCCTAAGTAATGTTAGGCTAAATGAATTGTTTTGATATTTGGTTTCAAAACCAAAACTGTCTTTGTTAAAATTTACCTATTGTACAGATGCCCAATCTTACAATCAGCTGTGCCAACTTGCAAATGGGGAATTCAGAAGTTTATTTCTGTAAGGATTTGTAGCTACTTAATGGGAAGAGGTTAGGCGTGTGATTTGTTATGTGATTCTGAGTCTTCTAAACTGCTGTATATTTATTTTAAGGCAGCCATGATTTTTGTTTTGTCCACTGTTTAGTGTACTAAACTGGTTCAGAATTTCTTGGAGATGATGGGGCTGGCTCCATTTCTGATATTCTTAAAAATGTAATAGTCTGGAGTCCACTAGTAATTATTGTTTTTTGTGTCTACTAGAGAGAGATTTATACACTCAAGAATACTTTGTTCACCTCTTCATCCAATATGACAAAAGGTGGAACGACCCGATTGATTAGACTTTCCTATTTTAAAAATATGTTGAGGATATATGTATGTAGTTTGCTTGTAAGACCGTATTTGTAGTATAAAATATAAGAGAAAAACATATAGTCGCTTTGGCCGAGTGGTTAAGGCGTATTTTTTTCAAGCTTTGTTTGAAACCCCCTGAGGGTTCGAATCTCTCAGGGTGTATGGAAATAATATTTATTTAATATAATTTATTAAGTTCAATAAAAATTCAAAATTAACGGAAATTCCACGAAAAAAAAAAAAAAAAAAAAAAAA